GAGAGAGAGAGAGAGAGAGAGAGAGAGAGAGAGAGAGAGAGAGAGAGAGAGATGAGCGATACAAGTTTGGTTGTCACTTACATGTGAAGCGAGCTGCGCAGTCCAACGAAGGAGGAAGAAAGCGGCCATAGCCGCGGAGCAGCATCACGGAGTAACAAAGGAGGATAGAGAAGGAGGGACCGAGGAGAGAGAAAGAGGAAAGAGTGAGGAAGAAGGAGACATCAAGGTGGAAGACAGACATAGCCGCGGGTGAAAAAAAAAAAAAAAAAAAAAAAAGAGAAAGAAAGGAAGAAGGTGGTGAAGGGGGAGAAGAAGACAAGGGTGGCGAAGAGGAGGGTGCCGGCAGCCATAGCCGAGGTGGAGAGTTGACCGGAGGGTTGACCGGGGTGTTGACCGGGGTCTTACCGCGTTGACCAAGCGTTGATCGAGGAGTTGACCGGCGCCGTTGACCAAGACTTTGACCAAGCTGGAGTTGGTAATATCTCGCCAAGCCCTAGCCTACCCCCTCACCCTGTGGATGTGCACTCACCCTGCGGTACTTGCTGAGTTTGAGTCTGTCTGTCTCTTCTTTCTGCATTGAGTCTCTTCTGTCCTAAGTTGTAGTACTCTGTGGATGAAGGATAGGGCCTGGATGACGAAACCCTTACCTGACCTTGTAGAGCTGATACCGTGTCTAGTCTCATTGTCCCGGGGGGCCTAACCCTCCCAAGGACCGGTGCTGACCGGCGGGACGCGGATTGGGCGTGGCACGGTGGGCTTGAACGGCAAGTTGGGGCTGACACACCAGGCAGTCTTAAGTGTTGAGGGCCTTGTTGACCCAAACCCCTACCGGATCTAGTAAGGCTAAAGGCCGTGTCTGACGACTCGACTGTCCCGGGGGACACGAACCCTCCCAAGGACCGGTACAGACCGGCGGGCTGCTCGGTGTGGCACGGTAGGCCCGAAAGGCTGAGTTGTGGGCTGATGCAATAGGCAGAACCAAGCTGATCACGTAGTCCTGACTGCGACGTTAAAGAATTCTTGCGGAGTTAGGGGGATCTCCTTAAAATGCCTCCAGATCAGCCACTGGTTCAGTAGTGACAACCATAGTGTAGGTCTAGGCTAGCGACCATAGCTGACAGGGTTCTATACGAACCCTGTGGTCCTTAGAGAGTCAGTCAGTTAGTGGTTTGGGTAGGTCTACGTGGTGAGGAGTGGGACATTGTTGTGCACCTGAACACCATGGACGACTACCCCATGTACGGTTTGCTTGTGGGGTTCTCCCTCTGGGGAACCCTCTGGCGTTTCATGTTCCCATTGGGATTCTGGAACACCTTTTCGTGTAGGGTAGAGACACGTACAGGGACGGGTACTAATCCCTACACGGCCGAGCAGGAAGCCAAGGCCGCTGCCATCCTGAAAGAGAGGAGAGAGAAGAAAGAGGCAAAGAAGAAGGCCTTATTGGAGGCGCATGCGGCAAAGTTGAAAAAGATAGAGGAGGAGATGGCCAGAGAGAAGGAGAGGTTGAAGAAAGAAGAAGAAGCGAAATTGAAAGAAGTGGAAGAGGAAGAAGAAGAAGAAGAAGAAGAAGTAGAAGAGGAGCCACTGGAGAGAGGAAGGAGAGGTAACGGAGGGGAGTCCAGTGAGACAAAAGAAGATCTGATGGAGAAGAAGATCTCAGAGTGGGTTGTAGGACTGACCCTGGGAGAGGATGAGGAGGCGTTAATGTATGTGTCAAGGGACGAGCAGGAGGCGGCCTTGCGAGAGTGGGAAGCTGAAGGAGACCCACTCAGGCGACAAGTGCTGGAAGATGAGAAGAGGATGGAGTGGAAGTTCCGCCTCACCAGGGAGAGGAAGAGGAAAATGGAGGCATCAACGAAGGCGGCGAAAGTACTGGAAGAGATTGGGAAGCAAAAGGATCAGATGGCGGTCCAAGTAGACTTGTTGGGAAAGGTAGAGATCCTGGCCAAGAACGTGGAACGCCTAGCAAAGGTCCAGGAGGAGCAACTTTTATTTGGTAGAGGCCAGGACATTGCCGTGCGTTCGATACGGTCGGGACTTAGGGACTTTGCTCAGGAGTTGGCCACGCAGGTGGGCTCGCATGTGACAGCCCGCCTCGAGGGGACTGAGCGGTACTGTGTTGGTGCCATTCAGGGCGCCAAGTTGACGGCCCCAAAGGAAGAAGAAGCACGTCCCCGTAGGGAGCCGATCAAAGTTAAGGTTCCTGATTCCTACAGTGGAAAGAAGGAAGAAAACTTTGACAATTGTGAGGCCAACGTCAAAACGTACGTGCACCTGCAGAAGGTGTCCCCCGATGAGCAGGTCCTAATCACCATCCATGCGCTAAAAGAAGAAGCCACCAGTTTTGCACGCTCCTTAGTCCGCGCTGCTAATTGCAGCGACGATATAGTTGCCTACTCTTCCTTTACTCCCCTCGCTGACTTTCTCAAGTTGCTGCGTGAACGATTTGCAGATGTCTCGTGCAGCGTCAGAGCCTCAGACCGATTGCAAACTATCCACTCTCGACAGTGGAGGAGTGCCAAGGCACTCAAGGGAGAAATGGACGAGTTAGTGGCTACTCCTGACCATGGGGTCACAGAGTCCCAACTGGTCAACCTCTTCTACCGGGCTATGCCCGAGTCATTGCGTGGGCTCTTCTTCGAGAAGAGCCAGCAGCCCACCATGACCTACGACGCATTGAGCAGGGAAGTGGTGGCCTTTGAAGCAAAGTCTGCGTCAGTTTCCACCTTCTGGCACAAGGACTTGGACAAGGGAAAAAGGTGGAAGGGTCACACTATCTCCGGACAGGGTAAGACAAAGGATAGCCTGATCCTTACTTTAGATGAGGGTAGTGTTGACGAAGTCCCCTACGACCAGATAGAGTGGGGGCTTGAGGGAGATGACAGTAGCAGTAGTCAGGGGAGAACCTACGCTGCTATCGCGGCTGGAGGGAGGCCGCAAGGAGGAGGACGAGGCCAGGGCCAAGGGGGCCGGACCTCAAGGAACCGTTCTCAGGGCGATCAGGGGGTTGGCGGTAGAGGAGGAAACCGCCAAGCGGGAGGAAGGGGTCAAGGTCCCCCGCAAAACCGGTTTGGGAATAGGTCCCCTTATAGGAGGAGTGGATGGCACCCAGGGCTGCCACAAGGCAGGCCTTGGGAAGAGCGGGGTTGGACCAGCGCTTATGGCAACAGCGTGTGAACCAGGGGCAATGCATTTACTGTGGTGACCCTGGCCACATCATTAAATATTGTCCAAAGTATAGAGAGGCTCGTTCGGCTGGACAAGAAGCAAAAGTCACCCGTCGGTAGGGGTAGCAACTGCCTCTACCATAGGGCCATGTGGAGATGAGTTAGCAAGCCGGCACGAATCTCCCAACCCACATGAGCCCATGGCAGAAGTTGCAGGCCGGTGCCTAGATAGCTGCCCGAAGACTACGTGTGTTAGAGTCTCTCTAGGCACTTCCCTCACGGGCGTGGCAGAGGAATTGAAGGAGAGAACGCCCGCCTGGGCCAAGATGAGGAAAGAGAATAGAGGGCAACTCATATTAGTAGATACATAAATCTTTAGAGGACGAGTTGGCGCCTTAGTGGATAGTGGAGCCACTTGCAGTTATATTAGTAGGAAGGCGCTACAGAAGCTGAAGTTGCAGTTGAAAGTCCAACGGCTAGCATACCCCATAGTAAGTATCCTCGTGGACAATCGCACCATGCGAGTGGAAGAGTACGTAGAGGGAGTCCAGGCATATTTCCGCCTAGAACAGGATGGGAAGGTGGAGAAAGTTCTCCATTCCCTGACTCTCCTCGTAGAGGATACCCTTCCGTTTGACATAGTCGTAGGTATGGACTGGGGAGAGGCAGCAGGGGCCACACTCCATTTGAGGGAGCATGAGTGTAGGCTCCTTAGTCCGTCAGGCGGCGTCAAGACTGCCCGTCTGTTTCATGGGTCAGGAGTAGACAACTCCCTGGCGCATTGCTGCCCGTCTGTTTCATGTCTGTTTCAACTCTCTGTCAGACGAAGATAGATCTAAAGTCCGGATATCATCAGATAGAGGTTCATCCTGATGATCAGTACAAGACAGCTTTCCGGACTAGGTATGGGCACTACGAGTTCATCGTGATGCCCTTTGGACTAACCAACGCGCCAGTGACTTTCCAGCGATGTATGAATGATTTGTTTAGGCCGTGGTTAGATAAATTTGTTGTAGTTTATTTGGATGATATCCTAGTGTTTAGCAAGACCCTTCAAGAGCATCAGGGTCATCTCAGGCAGGTCTTGGAGAAGCTGAGAGAAGCTAACTTCAAGATCAACGCAAAGAAGTGCGAATGGGCAAAGAGACCCAAGTGTTGTATTTGGGCCACATCTTAGACGGAGACGACATCAAGCCAGAGGATAGTAAGATTGCAGTGATCAGGGATTGGCCTACACTGCGTACGTTGACAGAGTTGCGGTCGTTCTTAGGCCTAGCAAATTATTACAGGAAGTTCGCAAGGAACTTCTCCACTATCGTTGCGCCCCTTCGCAGACTGCTCAGGAAAGAGACCATCTGGAAGTGGGACAAGGACTGCACGTCTGCTATGAAGAAGTTGAAGCAGGCACTGATAGAGTATCCAGTCCTTAAGGTGGTCGATCCGTCCTTACCCTTTGTCGTCACTACGGACGCTAGTCAGTACGGCATAGGTGTTGTTTTGCAGCAAGACGATGGCAATGGTTTTAGGCCCGTAGAGTTCATGTCTGCTAGGATGCCTTCAGAGAAGGTTGCGACATCGACCTATGAGAGGGAACTCTACGCTCTCAGGCAAGCGTTAGACCACTGGAAGCACTACTTGCTTGGGAGGCATTTCAAAGTCTATTCTGACCATGAGACGTTAAGATGGTTAAAGACGCTGGCCAAGATGACACCTAAGCTTACTAGGTGGGCCGCACAAATCGACCAGTACGATTTTGAGCTCAAGCCAGTCAAGGGTAAATATAACGTAGTTGCGGACGCTCTAAGTAGGATAGATGACTACTTTGGAGCGATAGTTCACTATCTGGACATAGGGAGAGACCTGCAGGAAAAGGTTAAAGAAGCGTATGCGCAGGACCCTATCTACAGTGACCTCCTCAAGAGAGTAACAGAGGCCCCAGAGACCGCTAGATTGCCGCACCACTGAAGGACTATTATTTGAGAAGATTAACGTAGTTGACCGTTTGTGCATTCCCAATAGTGAGGAGATCCGTAGTCTGATCTTAGGAGAATGTCACGACACAGAGGGCCATTTTGGTTGGCAAAAAAACCCTAGCCAATCTAATGCATGCGTACACCTGGCCATGAATGAAGAATGACTGCATAGAGTATGTCCGAAGTTGCAAAGTTTGCTACAGGAATAAGACTACTACGCGTGCCCCGCTAGGTCTTCTCAGACCCTTGCCTATTCCTGATCAGCTCGGGGATTCAATGTCCATCGACTTCATGGACGCAGGCGTCAAGAGTAGACATGGCAAGAGCCAAGTCATGGTTCTAGTCGACAGGTTTAGCAAGTATGTTGTTTTTATACCTTTGCCTTCAGAGACACGGACCGAGTTAGTGATCCGTAAATTCTTTGATCATTGGGTCAGTGAAAACGCTGTAGGGGCCGTGCCCTGAAGGACTTTCGAGCCTCGGTCGACTCCACTGCGGGTCCCATTTGGCTCGACCCGCCCACGCTCACGCTCAGGGCGGGGGTCGTTCGTCCCAGGGGCACCCCCACCTAGTGCTTTGAGATGGATGGGGATGGGCCGTTTGCGAGAGGGCTTTAAATTGGGGGATGTAGCTCCGCTCTCGCGTCAAGATGGTAGCTCTTCGGGCACTCATGCCGTTTTCTCGATTCAATTAAGTCTGGCCAGGCAATTGCTCCTTCCAATACGCAGGCAGTCCAGGAAGTTCTTTGAGAGTTCATCTTCTTTTCGTGTGTAGGCCAAGCGTCATCCATTGGGCCACACACCTTTTCGCTACGTCTAGTGGATCAAGACAGCCCCTACGGCATCCTTGGGGTGGGACGGCATCGCCCGGAACCGCTACATTTTTTTTGCTTGAGCCACTAGCGTTGCATTCACCTATCCAAGACTGCCCTTAGTCCTTCCGGGCTTGCATTGAATTCCAGAGAGCCATTGCATTCAATCGTCACACAAACCACATGTAGGCATCTACCACTCATCCAAGCATCCGACCATCAACCCCATCCTGCATCCATAGTTTATGCGAGGTGTAAGTCCTTCCCTTATCGATTTCCGGCGGATCCAGTCCCGCTCGACACCCATCCCAAGCTACTCACCTGCACAACACCACACAAAGCATGGACCAAATACAATCCCCATTGGGGTCAACACACCGCCCCTTCCCACATGCCTAGGTTTCCTTTGCCCTTCGATGATCCTTTGGTTGTCTTCCCCTTCCCTCAAGCAAAACCATGCCTTCACCTTAGTCATGCAGTCGGGGAAGATGGTTGAGTCAAACTGACCTCGTCCAAAATCAGCACTCCTTTTTGCTTTCGCAAATGCTCTCAATAGTTCCGTAT